GGGGGTCCCTGGTGGAATGATGAGTTCCTTTATTGAAGTCATGCTGTTGCTCAGCACTGTGCTAGGTTTAGAGAAGGGACATTATGAAAGGAGGATGACCTTGGCCCGCCCACAACTTGAAATCTACTTGTGATTGGTGGTTTAACCCATCAGTCACTCCATAGGAGAAACAGGAGGCAATCTGCTACTATAAGGTTAGAAACCCTGTGGGCAGTTCTATCCAGTCCTACAGTGTCTGTGAGTCAAAACCTATTGATGAGAATGGACTTGGGTTTATAATGAAAGAGTAAAGGGGATGTTACAGCACTAGTTACAGAGGGGGCTCAGAGAAGAAAGATGGGAGGGGGGACTTAGTTTCATAAATAAGAACAAGAAAACAGGATGAGCAGAGACTTTCATGAGACATGAATGAGCACAAGGAATCCTGAAGGAGGTTGAGGGTGTGGACCAGCAGGATCAGAAGGAACAAAGATGAAAAGATTGTGATGCCTTGCAAGGGTTATGTAGCTTTTCCCCTTGGATAATGGGAGCGATCGTAGGTTTGGAGATCAGGCTGGTGACATGATACACAAGAGAAATGGTGAAAATAAGTTGACCACGGTCTCTTCTGACGTCAGCAGCTGTGAGTGTCTTGTTAGTACGTGCCTGTGGATCAAGGCAAGAGCCCCCATCGGGAGGGTAGGAGTCGAAGCCCCTTAACTGTAAGATGCCAAACCTCAAGGCAACCTTTTGAAGATACTTTTTTAAAAACTAGGTAAAATAATCTTTCTTTTTTAGAATGCTTGAAATTGTTCCTCCTCTACTTTCACTAAGGATGTTACTTAAAATGTTCTGGGGGATATGTGCAACAAGAAAGGTGTTCACCACATAGTGGATTTTCTATAACAAATAAAGTGAATTACGTTCTAAAAAGAAGAAAGAAAGAAAGGTGTTCCAGAGCAGCTCTGGTGGCCTAGTGGCAAGAAGCTGCGCGCAATCCCAGAGTTGCGCGGTTCAAATCCACCAGATGCTCTACTGGAGAATGAGGGGCAATCTCCTCCTGGGCCAGTCAGATCCAACTCGATGGTACACAACAAAAAACAAAATAAAACAAAAAGTGTTCCAGGAGGTGGTAGCCATAGGAGGCAGGAGACTTGTGTCAAGGACCCTTCCTGAGTCCTCTGCCCTCTGCCCAACCTCCTGCTCAGCTTTCTGAAGCCAGCTCATGCTCTAAGTCACATTTCAGACCTTCTCTGAGCCCTGTTTAGCTCCTGTAGATTCCAGAGCCCTCAGAAGTCCTATTTGTAAACAAGGCCAGAGCAGGCACGGATGTCCACCTGCCACAAAACATTGCAGACTTTGAATCGCACTGTGGCCTAGAAAGTCCCTTCTCAGCTTCCTCCCAAGCCTCCACATCACATTGAATCCCTTATCTGCCAATCTCCCTTTTAAACAAAGAGTCAGTCCTCTGCCTTGGAAATTTTGTAGGCAGAAATGTCTAGCTGTAATGTAGTAACATGGTTTTACTTTGATTGTGTCTATTTTTATGTTCGCTATGTGTTGTTCTGACTTACTCGAAATTAGAGAGATATTTTTATATTACCTTCTAATTATATTGAGTCCTCTTGATTTCTCATTTACATAGCGATATGAGAGAAAGTATTTAAGAAAAACAATATCATTACATAATATAATGGAAACTGAGTAAAGACTGTAGTGAGGGGTGATGGAATTTAAGTGTGTGCGTAGCTGGTGGCCTAGTGATAAGCACTGCAATTACAGAGTCATACGGCTCAAACTCAATAGCTGCTCCACAAAAGAAGGATGGTCAGTCTCCTCCCATGCGAATTACTGCCTCTGAAAACCCACTGAGGGGCCCAACAACATAGAGGGATTAACTCTGTCCCTACAAGGAAGGGCAAGTCTTAGCAGAACTGGGCCTTGGAGATAAGCTAGATTGTGCTGAACAGAGAAGAGGCATCATCACGGTGTCCAGGGACAGGAAAGTCCTCTGTAAGAAGTCAGTGTGTATAATGGGGCCTGGCACAGAGTTTCTCCAGAAGGCACTGCTGGCATTTAGGGTAGAGTCTTAGCTTGTGTGTCAGAACAATTCGTACCTGGCTCCTGCCAGTAGCACCCTCTAGTGAGTGTGACAACCCCCTAAACTGCCCCATATGTTTCTAAATGCCTCCCATTTGGGAAGCGCAGCTCTATATTGTCTTAACATTCTTCCAGAAAGAGCCATAATGGGAAGATGAGGCAAAGTTAACTGAGGTATTCTTGGGAAGTCCTTGGATACAGGGGAGAAACACACACACACACACACACACACACACAACCAAGTTGCTATTTAGAGGGAAGATACTGACAGAATGTAGAGGAGGACTAGGTGAGAGAATTATGTGCTGAGGAAAAGACACTGACAATTTGGAGAGTCAGCCCTACAACATGAGTATGACCGCTCGCTCTCATTAGCTCTGGTTTCCCCTCTCCACAGGGCAAAGCCTCAAAGACCCTTTCATCTCGTAACCAAGGCCACCCAAGTCCTAACTGTTAAAAATACACCTACTCTTCATTTTAACAATGACCTTGTTTCCTAACATTTCTCATTTGCAATAGGAAAAAAAAATCTATTTCGCCCATTACCAACGTACATTTGGCAGTAACAGAACTCTAGATACAAGACAAAAGGAGCCGTAGGGTTAATGCATCTCAGAGGTTTGACAGTTGATGTCAGTGTCTTCTCCATTATGTGATCCAATGTAATTATCCTTCATTTCTGCATAATACCAATTTTTGCATGACAACCCAGGCCTCAAGACCACCCATGTTAATAAGTGAGGAGTGGGTATATCGCTGTTTCTTTGGGATGGTCAGCTGTGAGTTCCTGAGTGTCTGCCAGACCCTTGACCAATCTAGAGCATGAATGGTGGTTATCTATTCAACATTTGTTTCCTAAGTGCCCATTACGTGCTGTCCTTGTGCCCTAGCTGCTTATTTATAAAAGGTTCATTAAATGTGGCCTTGTAGTATTCACAGGGCTCTTAGGTTATATGTGACAAAAACTCAACTTTGGCTGTATCCAGAAGAGGGGAAGTGTTGGTTCATGTTCCTAAAATGTTCAAGCCCACCCAGATCCTGGTCATCACACAGCATTGACTGAAATCTGTTCCTTGCCTTCTCTATTCCAGCTTCACTCTCAAGTAAGCTCTTCTTTCCTGATAGCCCTAGCTTCTCCAGACTTCCCTCTACCCGAGTTCAAGGATGCCCTTCTCCCTAGGTTTCTCCGTCTCCATGTCCCAAGAATGAGCTCTGATTGGTTCTGACTAGTCCACACCCCTTTCCAAAGCACTTCTTGTGGCTAGAGGAGTGTGATCGTCTGACTGAGCAGGTCTGGGTCATGTTGTCAGGCCTAGAGTCAGAGCTCTCCACCTGAGCTGATTGGAGGAGACAGGAACCAACACACCATTGAGGGTGAAAGGCACCCTGAAAAGCCACTTTATGTTACAGAACTGGAGACCCCAGTTGAGAGGGTGCACCAGATCCAGCAAATCCTCATCACCCTGCCCCGCGTGGTCATCGTGGTCATGAGATACCTCTTCGCCTTCCTCAACCAGTGAGTGTCTCTGCCCAGCCAAGGGGCCCTCTCTTTGACACTGCCCTGCCTCCTGGGAGGGGGTGTGATGAGGCTTAAGCAGGTATTACTATGTTGACAACAGAACATGGAACCTTCCTGACCTTGAGCAGAGGCCCTAAAGGAGACCTTTAGGGGGAAGATTGGCCTTTCCCAGGTGACTTGTGGGTCCCTCCTCTCTTCTAGCCTCTCCCAGTATAGCGACGAGAACATGATGGATCCCTACAACCTGGCCATCTGCTTCGGCCCCACTCTCATGCACATCCCTGATGGGCAGGACCCTGTGTCCTGCCAGGCACACGTCAATGAAGTCATCAAAACCATCATCATCCATCATGAAGCCATCTTCCCCAGTCCCCGGGAACTAGAGGGGCCTGTGTATGAAAAATGCATGGCTGGAGGGGAAGAATATTGGTAAGATTTCACTCCTCTTATTATTATTACTACCACCATTGTTGTTGCTCAACAGGAACAGTAAGAAGCCCTTCAATGTTCTTACTGATTTACAGTCTGTACTTCCACAAACATTTGTTTCATTTGAGCTTCACAACAGCTTTATGGGTATGTGCGTTATACAGGGGTATATGTCCAGACTTTCTTAGTTACAAAGGAGATATTTCAAACTGGCTTGAGCCAAATGGGAATGTGCTGGCTCATTTAACAGTCTAGGAATATGGCTTCGGATATAAGAGATCCAGAGGCTCAGATGTTGTCTTCAGAACTTGCTTCTGTAGTTTCTATCTATCCTTTTGCTTTGTTTTCTTCTGTGTGGGTTCCCAGAGATTTCAGACAACCTCTTTCCTAGTAGTTCCCAGAAGGCAACCTGCACTCCAAATTTAGAATTCATTCTCTCAGGATCCCCAGTGGTAAAATACCACCTCTTTTTCAAATGCCGGAGCATAAACCCGAGAACTCCGTCTCATTAGCAAGGGTTAGACTGATGCCAATTCCTGAACCAATCACACTGGTGAGGAATATAATGTACTGAGTGGCCAAGCTGAGTCACAAGGAGAAAAGGGCGTGACTAGTCCCTTCTTCAACTTCATGAATTTCATGAAAGCATGAGCCTTTACCATCTTGCTCTTTCATTTTGGAGTCCTCTTTTCCACACAGAGTAAATTCATATTTTTTTGAGTGTGACACATCAGGCCCACAATGCTTAGCTAAGCTCCTCTGTACGTGGCGCTACACTCAGTCATGCTGTTGTTGATTGCCATCAAGGTGAACACGACTCATAGCAACTTTGTGAGCAAAAGGCTTGCAGCATTTCTATAAATATCATTGTTTCTCAAAGTTTGTAGACTTTCAGTGATAGGAAGAACATTTTAGGACCCAGGTCTGCCTACTTCCCCTAGACTAAGATGTTATAATGTAGTGAAGCCAGAAAATTCCGAATACCAAGAGACCCGGACAAGTCAAAGGAGTTCTGCTACTTCTTTATGTGGCCCAGTCTATAGGGAGCTTCACTGCTAACCCAAAGACCTCTCCTCTCCGGTGGTTTGAATCCATAGGCAGTTCCACAAGAGAAAGATGGTCAGTCTCCTGTATGATTTACAGGCTGAGAAACCCAGTGGAGGGCCTGCTATGAGTCAGTTCTGATAGAACACAATGAGTGTATGAATCCAAGGCAATATGCCACTATAGATTTATGCATTACTTGTATTGCTTTCAAACAAGTGCCCACAGGGGAATTTGTCTCCCGAATTTTTAAAACACTCCTGGACTCCTAAAAAAAAATTACAAAGAACCCCACCCCAGCAACAACAAAAACATTCATGGACTCCTGAGTTGCTTTAACTCTGTGGATATATTTGGATAACCACTCCAAAGAAGGGCAATGTTCCAGTCCCTTTGTTACCCTCCCCACGGGAAGAACGGGCCATTGTGATGTCTGATCACAGCTCCATAATCTCCTTGGAGACACTAAGGAGCCAGTCAGTTCCTGTTCTGTAATAGAAACATTAAACAGCCAGCAAGCATCCCTATGTGTGAACAAAGAAGAGCTTTTCACAGGTTTTGCAACCATACCAGTTTCCTTGTTGCAATATATAATTAGTGTGCTGTAAAGGACACACAGATTTGTGCACATTTATCCAAGAACAAAATACAACAACCACACTTTTCTTAATCTCACTTGTTTCTCGTAAGAAAGGAAAATTATTAATTGCATGGTCATTTCAGAAGTGTTTTGAAAGCTGAAAAGCAGCATATGGCCTAGGGTTTTCTCATAATGGTGAATGATATTCATTCAGCCAATAAATGGTTATCACGCACCTGTCATGGGCTCTGCCCTGAGCTAGAGGCAGAGATAGATCCACTAATTAGATTAACCCCTGGCCTCAGGTAGCTCAGAAGTGGAGCCCTAGGCCAGTCTCAAAAGGTCAGGAAAGTCCTCCTGGAGATAGAAAGACTGAACTGAGGGTCAAAGATGAACTGTCCTTGTGAAAAGTGAACAAAGAATGTTCTAGGTCAATAGAAGAGACCATGAGTGACCCCAAGCATTCAAAAAACAGAAAACAGTATGGACAGGTGCAGTGAATGGAGAGAAAGAAGGCTACATCGATTAGAAGGTGCCAGGTTATGGAAGATACTTTACACTCTGGGCTATCCTGCAACTAATGCGGAATCTTTGATAATAAAGTCCATATTCCTTGACATGACATTTGAAATGTCATCTTCCTTTAAAAGCCTTCCCTGACGCTGACTCTCTGCCATCCTTGTCTCTGCTCGTTTGTTTCCTATATAACACATATTTCAACTGGCAACTGTTTTATTTATTGCCTGTTGGACTTTATTCCTGTCCCGTTTCTAGAACATAAGGACCGTGAAGGCAGAGACCTTGTCTGCCTGATGCATCACTACATTTTTCATATCTCGAACACTTCCTGGCTGAGGTTAGGGGTTCAAGCAGCACCTCAATAAAAAGACTATGAATGAGCAACATTTCAATAAAAAGACTATGAATGAAGTCAGACCAAGAAGCTTTTAATGTAGGGAGGAGGTAGCAGGAAGTGAAACAGTGCAGTCATGCTCATGACAAAATGCGATGGAGCTGGAGTCACTCAGGCAGCACACACATCAGCAGCCTGATCTATGCTCTCACCCCTGGGCGGACGTCTTGAAGCAGCAACTCAGGAACCTTGTGTCTCCTTAGCTTCCATTCCCCTTTCTAGATCTGTCATCCTAGGTCTCATCCCAGAGAGTTTGCAAGGATGCTAAGACACATCTTAGCCAAAGCCACCTTTCTGTCCACCATTTTTGACCTTTGTCCCTCGGGTGACAGGTACTGAGGGTTTTACTTTGGTCTTCACACCTTACAGAGCACCTAAGCACTGACAGCCTTGACCAAGAAGATACCTCCGCAGAGTGCAGGGCTATGGGGACCTAGAGGAAAAGTTCAGGGGCATCTCACAGAGGAGGGGCCCACAGAAACGTCTGATGTGATAGGGTAAAGACCCAGAGGTGAATGGACAGGTGCTCTTAGGAGGCTGAAAGTGTGTAAGGCGAGACAGCCCCATGGTGAGTTCCCTTCCATGTGTTTCCTTGCAGTGACAGCCCACACAGTGAGCCAGGGACCATCGATGAAGTTGACCATGACAATGGCACTGAGCCTCATACCAGCGATGAAGGTGAGTGGGGCGGGGTTTGGGACCAAGGAACTCCCAGCTACAAACAAACTAACAAACAGAATCTCCAGACTTACTGCTGTTGTTTGAGGTATACCCTAGTCAACCAAAACTCATAGCAACCCTCTGACTAGGAGATCTGAAACGTGCGCTATCCTATAGTCACTGTGTCAACCCATTGCCTTGATGGTCTTCTCTGTCACTGACTCTACCTTTCCCAGTTTGATATTTCTTTCCAAAGACTATCCCCTCTTGACAACATTATCAAAGTATGTGAGACTAAATATTACCAAACATTCCTCTAAGGAGAGCATGGTTACACTCCCTCCAAGACAGATTTGTTTTCTCCTTTCACAGTCCCTGGTATATTCAAAACTCTTTGTCAACACCGTAGTTCAAAGCCATTGACTGCTCTTTGGTCTTCCTTAATGGACTTTCAGATGTGTAAGAATCAACAGTTAGAATCATAAGAAGCAAATGCCTAAGAATGAACAGGCTTGGATCAGGAGCTCCTTAGTCTTTTAAACTCATACCCTTGCTCTTTGGAACCTTAATGAGGTCCTTGGCAGAAGCTTTTCCCAATGCAACACTTCTTTTGATTTCTTGACTGTCACTCCCATAGGTGTTGACTGTGGATCCAAATCCTTGACAACTTTAAACTTTTCTCTATCATAATGCTGCCTTATTGGTCCAGTGGTGAAAACTTTGGTTTTCTTAATGTTGGGATGCAATCCATATTTAGGGTTAAAAAACAAATGTTTTAACTCCTCTTCACTATCTGCAAGCAAGGTTGTATCATCTGCATAAGGCAGGTCACTGATGAGTCTTGCTCCAATCCTGGTGCCACATTCTTCTTCAGAAAGTCCAGTTCTACGAATTATTTGTTCAACATGCAGACTGAATAGATATGGGAAAAGGGCATGAGCCTGACACACAACTTCCCTAATTTTAAACCATGTTATGTTCCCTTATTCATTCAAACAACTGCTTCTTGGTCTATGTGCAAGTTTTACATCAGCATAATTAAGTGTTCTTAGATTCCTATTATTCTCAGTGTTAGCCATAATTTGCTATGATCCACAAAGCCCTGTGTTATTCTTTGCAATGATATCCCTTGGTCCATAGCATCTTCTGTATCCAACTTAAATTTCTGGAAGTTATCTGTGGATTTCCTATCCCAGACATTTCCAGTAATATTCAGCAAGATTTTATTTGCATGTAATATTAATGGAGGTTCCCCCCACCTATCATTCCCATATTCTATTGGATCACCCTTTTTTTTACCCTTTTTTTTTTTAAATGAAAACAAATATGGGTCTCTTCCAGTCGGTTTGCCAAGTAGCTGTCTTCTAAATATTTTGGTAGAGACTAGTAAGAACATTCAGAGCTTCATCTGTTTATAGAAACACCTCCATTTTTATTCCATTAACTTCTGGGGCCTTATTTTTTGTAAATGCCTTCAGTGCAGCTTAAGACGTCTTTCTTCTTTACCATTGGTTCTTAATCCTTTGCTACTTCCTGAAATAATTCAATGTCAACCAATATTTTTTGATACAGTGACTCTTAGTCCTTTTAAAAAAACCCAAAACAAACACACAACAAATAAACTAGTTACCATCATTTGATTCTAACTATGACAACCTCATAAAGATCAAATTAGATCTGTGCTCCATAGAATTTTCAAGAATGGATTTCCCCCCCCCCCGTTTTCATTTAGTTTTTAAATTGTCAGGCTTTCTTCTGACACATCTCTGGAGGGACTCAAATCTCCAATCTCACACTTAGCAACTAAGACTCTTAAGCACTTGTGTCATGTAGGAACTCTTGGGAATATCCCCTAGTTCCTCATGTTGGTTGTTTACCCACCCAGCCACAGTGTAGATTTATATAAGTCTTCTAACTCTCCAAATCAGCTCATCCACACCCTTCAGAAGAGATGAGGATTGAGGAAACCCTCAGAAGCTGGCTAACCAGGCCAGACTAATAGGTGAGTTTTCACATTCTAGTGAGATTCTAGATGCCAGTGAGAGAATCTCCAACCCAAATTTACTTATCTGGAGAAGGAAATCAACTCACATATATAAAAAGGCCCACAAGAAGCATGAATGACATCAGGCACAGCTGTATCCAGGGGCTCAGATGGTTTGCAAGATTTTGCTTCTGACCTATTTTCTTCTATGTTAGTAAAAGATTCTTGTGCTTTGATTTTGTGATATCTTTTGTGACTTTAGCAGGTCCAGGCTTTTGCCAGCCTTTTAACCAAAAGGCTTGGTAGAAAAGATCTTTTTTTTTTCCCCTGACAATGGCCTCAGATTGAATCTCACTGGACTGAATTTGGTTAGAAAACCAGGCATGATCCATTCATTTTGGCCTCAGAGGAAGCTATTGGATCAGGTTTGAGTCATAGATGATGAGAAGCAAATCCAGCTGTAATGTTCAGAACCCTGAGAGGCAGAGGTCATCTTGAACCAAGACTGTGGAGTGTCCAATGAAGCCTTAGCTAAAAGATTTGAAAGCTTCCAATTTGTGCTTGCTCAGAGTGATTTGATTTCTCCCTTGTCTTCCTGTCTCCTTGTTTCCCTCCCTCTACTACCTCCAATTCTCCTCTCTCTCCTTCTGTCATTTTCCCCACCCTCCGCCCCTTCTCTGCCTTTCTCCATCTGTTGCTTTCTATTTATTTCTTGATCTGTGTTTGTTTCTCTCTCCCTCACTCATGATTCTTCTCCTCTGTCTCCTCAGTCCACGTGTCTCCCTGTCCTTCCTGCTCTTGATCTGACTCTGTTCAAACTAAGACTAGTCAGGACTGCTGATGGTGGACAGAGCTGGCCCTTCCTCTCACCTTCCTGGAATGATCATCTTGCCCAGGATGGTGGGCAGAAAGCCACCCTGGGAATCAGGACTGAGGATGCATGAGGGACAAGGAGAATGAAGCATTCGTTAGGTCAACCCAGTACCTGCATAGGACATTCACAGTTAATTTCATCCTCACACCAATAAAACTCCATCCCCAAATGCTGCCCTCATCTCCTCTAGCAACGGCTCACAATTGGCCCCAGAATGGGATGAGTCTCAGTATTTTATCTTCTTCCCCATGGGCATATCTTCTTTTATTCTTACCAAGGTTATTGGTTTCTGGGAATGACAAAGGCTTCTGAGAATCATCCTGAAATACTGTTGTTAAGACCTGGGAGAGGGACCTTCATGTTCTCTGAAGGCCTCAAAGCATTTTGCAGTTGGGAGAATTTGAATTAGATGCATTCTTTGGAGGAAAAGCAATTGCTTTTTCTATTTGCATTCATGCAAACTCCCATCAAAATGATCATAGAAATGTGGAACTGCAGGGTCAGATGAGGTTAACATTTGGCTTCAGAGAAAGAAGAGCTAGATTTGACAGCAAAGGGATAGCTTCATGGCCTTTGAACTGAGGCAAGCCTTGTAATCTCTGGCCTCATTATTTAAGTGACTCTGTAATAAGTGTGTAGTGTTAGTACTGTTCCGACTCATAGTGTAGAATAGCCCTCGGATTTCCCAGGCTGTCATCTTGATGGAAGCAGATCACGCAGCTCTCTCTATTGTAGCCGCGTGTAGGTTCAAACTGTCAGCCTTTCAGTTAGCAACCAAGTGCTTTACCTTTGTACCACCAGCGCTAACTGTATCAAGTGTATCTTCTCAAAACTGATTTGGAAACTGAGTTCCAGAAAATCTTACCAGCTAATTAGTGGAAGCATAAACCCTCTAGACCCTGTACCTATTTCCTTTGAGGCGTTCATCGATACCTTCTTTTCTTTTGAAAATGCGTGTAGGCATTGAGTCAAGCAGATTCAAATCAACAACAGGACCAAGATTGCAGGTCCTTGTAATAGATGGGTCAGCTGATGGATTGCCGGGCTGGTCAGCCAGCTTAGCTACTTGGGCGTCTGCTGCTTCTGTTGTAACCTGTACTAGCTGACACGTGTGTCCTGCTTTGAGTCTATTGGCAAATCATGGTTCCGTTCTAGGGAATATATGTATGCTTATTCATTCGTCTCCAAGATTTCAAAGGAAGCCATTGTTAGGCTGAGAAATGCTGACTGTCAAGATGAAATCACATTGCAAAGACCAAGAACAGCTTTGGTAATCAGATGCTAAATGAGGAATGACTTTGCCAGTTAAAAAAAAAATCAGTAACAGACGCATATTTATATTGGTATAAATTCTCTCATTGCCAGCAAATTGGAAACAACTCATAGCTTACCCTCCAGTGGGTTTTCAGAGGCTGTAAATAGCATGGAAGAAGACTGCTCATCTTTCTCCCACAGGGCAGCTGGATTCTAATCTAAGCAGAGCTCCCTTATATTAATATGTTGCTGTTGTTGTTTTTGTTATGTACTGTCGAGTTGTGATGTTGGAGAGTATGGACTGCCAAAAGAAAGAGCAGGTATGTTTTGGAAAAGGTGTAGCCAAAGTGCTCCTTAAAGACAAAAATGGTGAGGCTTCATCTCTCATACTTTGGGTGTGTTGCTAGGAGAGGCTACTCCTTGGAAAAGGGCATCATACTTGGAAAGGTCCGCAAAAGAGAGAAAGACTCTCAATGAGATGGGTTGACAAACTGACAGAAGCAATGGGTTTAAATATACCAGAGACGATGAGGATGGCACAGGAATAGGACAGAATTCAGGTCTATTGTTCATGGGGTTGCTATGAGTCATACTTGACTCAATGGCATCTAACAACCATAACAACAACAGTCAAGTCAGAACCAACTCATAGCTGACCCTCTGTTGAGTCTTCAGAGGCTATCATCTTTCTCCCATGGAGCAGCTGGTGGATTTGAACTGAGTACCTTTGGGTTGGCAGCACAACGCCTTACCACTAAGCCACTAGACAATTTTCAAGTTTAATTATACTTCTATTCTCTTCATGATACTCACTGGCCTTGCATCAAGTCTAACTGATAGCAGCCCTGTAGGAAGAAATAGCAGTGTTCTGTAATATTCCCAATGCTGCAGTCTTTACGGAACCAA